TCTAGACTCACATGACGTCCATTTCATTTACAAGTATCTGTGTAATTTGCTGACATGGAGAGTAAAAACTTAGTTGAAATAATTGTATATCAAAGTGTCAAAATGGTCTGAAATCTATTAAATTTGTTTATTAATTATGGAGCCATAATGATTATAGGTAACAGATTGTATATTTATATTAGGGGTTAGACCTAGCCTATAGTTGATATTAACATATATATATAGTTAGAAATCTATACAAGTTGATAGCTATATTAAGTTCCCCATTTGACCTGTTCTCTTACACTATCTATAAATAGCACAATGTTTATCTGTGTCACCTGTTGTTCAGGTAGCTGAACTTGTTTTTGCTGTGAAAGTCTGTACAAGGTACGGTGTCGGATCGCTGACCCTCTTCAATTCTTCTCTACATACAAACTGATGTGCTTCACTACACACTCTCTGTATGCACACTTATTATAGCTTTTGTCCCTTCCCTTTTTTTCTCCCTTTAATGTCTTTTTATATTGTCGTTTTTCTTTCACTTGAGGGCTATTTTCAGACCTACTTGAAAAGTAAAACAACATGTTTTGTTGTAATTTGTTTTATGAGGTTACACGAGTGCTTTTTACACTGATTGCTAACGATAGTAAACTTATTGAAAAAACTTTTCTGCTATGCAACTTACAATTTACATTTGCTTGTAACCTTGTAACGTAAAATAGTTCAATGAATTAAAGATTTTCCTTAATGTTTTGCCCTTTTGATTTCTAACTGTTAAAAGATCTTTATCATGAATGTAGTATGCCTACACTTAAACTAGGTTTATTGTCAATTCAAACTACATTAGTGAAAGGGCAAGCAGAAGTCTGAAAACTCAAAAGAGCACATACAGAAATCAAAAGACAGAGAAATCTTATAGCCTTGTCTTGATTTTTGAAGTTCACAGTCTAATTAAGGCTGTCATTAGACCCTTACTGAAGTGGCTATATTGAAAATAAAAGCCATTAAAAAAAAACGGAATGAAATTTTGGTCTAATTTTGATTTGACTGTTCAGAATACAAACTGGACATATGCTAGGTCAAAACCAAGATTGAAAATGGAGTCCATGGATAACAGAATATTTAACTCAATATTTCAAGCATGTGACTGTTAACTGTTGTATGAAGTTGGGAAAGCCCCACTCTCTACCACTTACAACATGTTGCTTATCTAAATGTGTGGGTGGTTAAGAGATTAGCTAGGTCCACAAGGTTGATCAGGATCGTTTTCCAATTATTGTTCCCTTATTTAATGAAAAACAAAGATATAAAGTGTGTTTTGTATGAATATGTAAAATAATAACTTTGTAAACAATAGTACTTCAACAGTATCTAGTTACTAATCTATCAAAGGTGAGGTGTTAGTAATCAGATTTAAAACAATAGTACTTTGATCACTGTATTGTTTATACTATCTAGTGACTTGATAGGTACAATAGTTACTAAATACCTATTGTTTCCTTAAAAAAGGTCATTATAGAATACTGATGTGCAGTAAGTATCTTGTTCCAGGATAATTGAAAGGCTTTGTAACTTAGTTTAATGTTAAAAACAGTATTATTATTCAAACAGGCCATAACACCCTTGTACAAACCTTGTCAATCTATAACTTGTAAAAGTTTGGGGGTGTAAAAATTTAATTTTCCAAGCAATTTTTTATTTAAAAAATAATGTTCAAAATAGTATCTGTATACATTTTTGGGTACATGGTACTTATTTTTACCATAATCTTTCAAAATAAATATTCTATTCAAAGCATTTTTTTTCTACTATGCATTTGTATATGGAAGTATTAACTCTAACAAATTGAGTGCTCAGCAATATACAGTAGGCTTATATACATTAAAGGCATATTGATTGAACACAATAGAAAATCTATGTTCAAAATTAACATGAGTACAGTTTGCCAAGCATTTGCTAAAAATCTTCCAGTATATAGCTGTAAGGCCAAAAAATATATATCCAATTGGTTACAATGATACTGCTTCTATTAGACCTTACAGTGATGATAGTTAAAAACCTGTGAAGACATGTAAACCAGGTATCACTGTAAGTAAGACATGAAGATTTGTTATAATCTGGTATAAGCATTCACCTGTATGTGTTAAGATACAGTGTTAACCCTTGACCAGTAATATAATATTACACAGTATTATAGTTAATATTAGAGACTACACTCCTAGATAAGAGATTTGAAACTTGACCAAGATAGAAGTCAGTTCTGGATTATCTGGATTAAGGTTTGCCTTCTCATATTAAAGTCGATCCTTACTTAGTTTACCTTTTTCAGATTATCTGATTTTAGATTTAGTCTCTAGAAGTTGATTGTTTTGTAAGATGTATTGAGTTTAGAAGGTTAGTCACCTAGACTAAGCTAAGATTTAAGCATATGCCTATCCTAAAAAAAATTCCTTGCTTATTCATAGAATCAGATTTGCCTTTTAAGATGAACTAATTTACTTGTAGGCATCAAAAGGGTTAAGTAATATAGCTTTATAGCAGATGCCTAATAAAGGGATCTGACATGTAAATGGCTAATGAAGGGATCTGACATGCAAATGGCTAATGAAAGGATCTGACATGCAAATGGCTAATGAAGGGGTCTGACATGCCAATGGCTAATGAAGGGATCTGACATGCAAATGGCTAATGAAGGGATCTGACATGCAAATGGCTAATGAAGGGATCTGATCTGACATGCAAATGGCTAATGAAGGGATCTGACATTCAAATGGCTAATGAAGGGGTCTGACATGCAAATGGCAAATGAAGGGGTCTGACATGCCAATGGCAAATGAAGGGATCTGACATGCCAATGGCTAATGAAGGGATCTGACACGCCAATGGCTAATGAAGCGATCTGACATGCAAATGGCTAATGAAGTGATCTGACATGCCAATGGCTAATGAAGTGATCTGACATGCAAATGGCTAATGAAGTGATCTGACATGCAAATGGCTAATGATGTGATCTGACATGCCAATGGCTAATGAAGTGATCTGACATGCAAATGGCTAATGAAGTGATCTGACATGCAAATGGCTAATGAAGTGATCTGACATGCAGATGGCTAATGAAGGGGTTTGAGATGCAAATTTTTTTAAATATTTTGTAATTTCAACAAGACTACTTAAGTATTTTTTATTATTTGGTATGTGAATAATGGGGAAATCCTTTTAACCGGTACTCTAGGCAATACATAACATAATATGATGATTTTCCTGTTACCGGTTTTCAATTTATCACTTCAGCAAAATCGTGACTCTTTTAGTTATATACATGTTTATCTGACAGTCAGGAAATGTATGTCACTTAATTAATAATTGTCCTTCAATTGACATAATTGCACTTGCCCTGAATATTGCCACTCATTGACAAACAGAATATATATTAACCATGCATTAATCATTTGATCCGGTTTATATTACTACAGGCGTTTTCCAACCTTTTTCTTTCTATTACTCCTTTTCAGCATCCTTGATTGATCGCATTACATCCTTTCCTTACCACTATTTTGTGATTTTCTCTTAGGTTTTCCCTGCAATCTTTTTCATAGAATATAGAATGACTGAATAGAACGACTTCAATTAAACCTGTCAAAAATTTTATGCTAGGTTACAAAGCGCTTCCCCTAAAAATGTCAAAATTACCTCCCCCCTCCCTCCCCCAGGTTGAAAACCCCTGTGTGAATTGCATGAATGATTATCATTGGTTCATTCTTGAACTGGCTTCCAGATTAGCAGTATTAAGGCTGTAAGATCACCCCACCATAAATTATATAGATTTTGAGCTTGATTTCAGCCATCTGTAACAGAATTTAAATATATTTATATGGGGCTCAATTATTGCAGCAAGTCAACTCTGATTATGCAAGTCATGATGAATGCTCTATTTAAAACTATGTTACACCTATTGTATTTACATGTATTTCGGGGAAAATTGCAAATTTTCTTTTTAAGAAATACTTAAATCTGGGTGGGACAAAGGTGATTGTATCAATTCAACAAAAAGCTGATGAAATTGAAAGCCAAAAAGTAGGACTGTTGATATACCTGCAGTATGAAGGTATAAAAGGTCATCTTTCATTAACATCTTAGCATATATATATATAACTGTACATGTAATTGTATACTATCATTGATGCAATGTCATGATGTAGTAAAGCATCACATGTCAGTTGTATTGTATTTGTTATTATGATGTGACTGTCAGTGATAGGCAGTACTGTATCCTGCTCTCTACAAACATAATAATTGTCACTGTGACATTTCACCTAATTGTCTAACCTGACCTATGTCTTTTCTTTCTAGTTATTATGTATGTTATATTAGTTTGAAACCGAAAATGAACTTTAAAGGGATTGTAAAGGGGTTTTCTAAATTTTGAATGTGTATCGGGGACAATGATAGCATCAATTTGCACTATTCCAATTTTCAATCAGACGTCTGAGGTTCATGCAATTTCACTAAAACTGAGTGTTTGATTAAGTCACTATTCACAAAATATGCAATTTCACAATACCCTTGGTGATTAATATCACTTATCCATTTTGAGTTCAACGTATTTCAGGCTTTGGATGGGAATTGCTAATGATACAAATAAGACCTATATTTTGTCCCTGCTACACATGGAAATAAAAGCAAATTCTCTAGAATTCCATTATTGATGTTGTCATAGGAAGATATCAATTACCAGGTCAAACTTTCTCTGGAAAAATACTGGTTTTTACTATTAAAATAAATTATGGTAGACCTGTGATATCTCCAAAATTACATCCAGTCTTAAAAGTTAATGAAATAGAAAAAATTCTCTCTTTATGCCAAATTTTGTTTTGCCATGGTAAAAATTCTCAAAAAACTAGCAATCCAAATTGGATATAGCTCGATTTCCATATAAAGATAACGTTTTATGAACCCATCAGATTTCACCCCCTTATGCCTATCCTTGCCTGTAATAACTGTGAAAACCTAACGTGAAAATGTCTATACTTCCTCTAACTCTGGGTTGGAAACTATCTTTTTGGGGTAGTGGAATAGTTTAGTAAGTGAAGATTATCATCTGTAAGGCGATTAGGTGCATTGGGTTTGAATCCTTCTCAAGGTAATTAAATTCTGATGCCTGTGCCTACGCATTCGAGAGTTGACCTGGTTTTGTCCTTCCCTCTCTAATACCTAACAGTGATGAAATGACATCCATATATCATGTCTGAGAAACTGGTAGAACCAGATTTGTAGGGCTACCATCTTCCCTGGCATAAGAAAAGAAAGATATAAATGTATGCTAGGTGTACCAGTATGAAAACAAAGGTAGATCATGATATTTGATTACTAATATCATGAGGAAGAAATATGACTAAATGTATGATAATTGTTATCTAAGAAGATGGGTATGATATATGGTTATGATAAATTGTATTGTACTTTGGTTTATGATAGGCCTACACCTTTTGTTGGTACTTTTTAAGGTCATTTATTGTACCAAACCATGTTACACTACACTATACTCATTAATTATGTTTTGTTTCATTTGAAGGTTAAATTTCTTTACAAAAACCATACAAATATTTGAAGAAATTTTTCTATATCATGATATAAATGAAATGAAATGAATGGAGTTTTACATCCTACTTTTCTGCACCACGTGGGCTAATGAAGACGGCAACGCCATGCATGGTACAATGGAAGAAATTTTGCCAAGACAGCGGCATTAGCCTGCTCTTTTTAGATTTCCAACTGTCGAGGGATCATTTACCTGCACAGTCTGTAGCACTCAGGGCCTTGGTTTATTGTCCCATCTGAACATGAAGTGAAATGAACTGCATTAATTAAGCTAATGAAAAGAGGCAAGTCGATTCTAGGTACATGAGTAAAGTGAGTTAACGAATGATGGCATCCCCACAAATTACCATGCCATGACATGTGTTAAATTTCTGATTGATTCCAATTGCCTAACTCACAGTAGAGGTCTGTTTCTGAAGGAATAATTGCAGTGTAGATTTTTGTAAGGTGCACCTGGTTTTCTTGATGCTATCAAGTGAGCTATAAACATACTTTGTTCATGCTGTAACTTAAAATAACCAATATTTTCCTCATTCCTATACTAGCATGGAGAAGGACATGCTCTGAGGAAGTATTTCTGGAACCAAACGGTACTTCTTGTCCCAGATGTGAACTGGACATAATGTAAACAAGATATTAAATCAATTGTTTACTCTATTACTAGAGTTTATTGTAAATAGACCTCATAGTGGACATAAACAAACATAATCTAAAGATAGGGTTATTATGCCCTCCTGCCCTTCACATTCTAACTTAACTGTTATAGTACCAAGAAATTGGGCTTGCGGCTGATTATAACCATGTACATAGAGCAACTCTGTAAAAAATAAATCCCAAGAACTAGACCGAAACATCTGTCTATATTCCAGCCTCTGATAGCTATGTGGACAGATGTCAGCTGGTGTAGAGATAGAAAAAATAGGCCCTGTAAAATGAGACCTTTCAGCATCTTTGCAGGTGCAGGGTTTTTAAAACCTATTTAGATTTCTCGGATCTGCAAAACCCAGATATATTTGGAAAGATGAATTTTTGTAGTCCAGTCATACTATCATTTTCTCCCTACACCATTTATGTCATGTCTCTGTTTCCATTGAAGTTTTTTAGGGCGAAATTGATCGAGCATCAGCCATTTAAAACTGTGTGCGCAGTCAAAGGTCACAGGTCATGTGATACTAACAAAGCGAAGGTTACGGTGATGCCCAACACTAATTTACAATCATCTTAAAGGTAAATCAATCTTATGTTTAAGAAAACGCATCTTTGGAGGTGTGGAAAATCCCCATTTAACAGTCTTTTTCTTCTGACTCTACTCTAGCTGACAACTGTCAAAATATCCATCAGAGGTTGGAATAGAGGCAGATGTTTCGGACTACCCAAGAACATGTTATAAACTAATAACAATAAATTCTTCCTATAGTATGAATTATTGAAAAAAAAACTTTGATTTCTTGCTCAAGATATCTATTCAAACATGATCAGTTTTCATGTTGAACTTGCTTGGTATTATTTAACAAAGAGGGCAAATTCAACCAGCCATAACCATAAACCACCACACCCCTGTAATCATCTAGAATGGTTTGTAGTTTCAGGTATCACCGTGGCTAAACTTACTACCTACTTTCCTTTCTTTGACAGGAGAGTACAGATTGATATACTACACCTGCCTATTAACTTAGATAGTTTTATGCATATTGGAGAATAAGAAATGACATTGTCAGCTGCTTTCACCTATTGCTGAATATAATTTTGACAAAAAACACCCTCAACATTACTAATGAACTCTTCTGATCATACATAAGCTTATACAGTTACATATTGATAGAAAATATGCATGTGTGGAAGAGTTCAATAGAAGGTTTAGGGGCCTCAAATAGATGTCTAGCACACTTTGAGTAAAATTTGCTAATCCTTTGGACTAATATTTGAAAACTTTCATTTCCAACAAAAAATTACACCTCTAGGGTTCCAATTGGCCAAGTTGTGGCCATTTATAGATGAGGGTAAGGGTTGGACACTAGCCTATACAGTATACAGGTCAGGGTTCATACCAAAACTTTGACAGTCTGCTGTTTGTAAAACTGTAAATATGTCAAGTTGCAATTTGGAATGCAGGAACACAACAATTACTTACAGAGAAAGGCTCTTAGTAGATACATGTTGCAGTAAAAAAAAACTCGCTACTGACCGTCTTGGTAATATTTACCTGTAGCAATGTGCTAACCCTAATTCGTTTTTAGATTTAAATTGAAAATTAAGTAATACTTTCTCAATGGATACAAGATGATGACCATGTTTTAAATTACATCAACACAATGTTCAATTGTATAAGTTGTGAAGTCTATTTAAATGTATTACTTAAATTAAAACGAAATAAAGCTCCAATGATATAAATTAACCCATTTCTGAAGACATTTTCAACTCCATTAGGTTTGCGACGGTGTCAATTTCTACCTTGAGCTTGAAATATGAATAAAAGACGGGGTGTTGACATAATTGATCGAGTTTTATGGAGTGCAAAAATCAATGAGAAAAAGTCAATGAGACTAGAGACCACCCAGGTGGTGTACAATCTAGAGATTATCAATGGGATGAAGAGTTCACAGCTAGAGTTCAGTTTGGTGTTGTTACTGCACAGGCTGAATAAAATCTTATCAATTTGCACACCTTTATTTGTAATTGACTGCAATTATGTGTGATTACAATAATTTATTTTCACTCAAGATGTTTGCTCTTTTCCTTTTGAAATTTTTTTCTACTATAATAATTGGTGTCAAATAAACTAAAAATACACATATGTAGGCCTATCCATTATCTTCTCATCTGAAATGAGTTCTGATTTACTTCTTATTTGGGTTTATTTTTTGCTTTTTAATAAAATTGTCTTCTTACACCTGAGCAGATAGTTACATCCTAGTACGTTCAATTTGTGATTTGGTACATCATATAAAGATATGACTTCTCATCTAATACACTGTATGATCATGGAATGATTACTGGTTAAAAATTTCAACTTGACAGGGGAACTGCCGTGGCTGAATGAGTTAGATGCTTGCTTGCTATACTGAAGATCCAGGGTTCAGTTCTAGCATAGGTCAAGAGGAAATCTTTGGATTTTTCAACCTAATTTCTGATATCATTGTTGCAAGTAAGGAGGAACAGTAAATAATGGGCTCGTTATGAACAGGAAATTATTTGGTTTGGAAATGGGAGTTAGCTTTCCAAAATTGGACTTCATATGCAAGAGCAAAGTACATGAACTCTCTGAACTTAAAAATAATCAAAAGCAAAACATCTTTTTATCTAAGGTTCAATGAGTAGAGTCCTGAAGGCTTAATATACCATCTATTAAAGATTAGAAGGTTTTTTTTCTATGATAAGAAAATAGAAACTACTGACCTCTGTTTTACCTCTTATTTTCATTGATTTACATGACCGTTACAGCTTGCTTAGCAAGTTCGTCAGTTGTTAACCTGTAGGCTTTGGGATTGATTGGGTCTTATGTACAACAGGCTGTACATGTAAAAGATTCTGCATCAGTTCAAAATGAATAGAAAAATCAGTTGATGCTCCTTAAGGAAAATTTGTCATGAAGAAAACTTGAATTTGCTCAAATTCATTCAAGCTTTCATTCATTCATTAAATCATAGCTTCATTCTCTCATTCATTTATTCTTTCATTCTCTCATTCATTTATTCTTTCATTCATTCCATTGACGTGTCTAATTCGTGATTAGTTGCAACATCTTTTCTGACTTTTAAACATCAATATTGCACCAGTAATCCCTGTTAAGATGTGAAGTGACTGTAAAAATAAAAGGTGCAAATCAATTAGATTTAATTATAAACTTTCCTTCAACCTGTCTGATATTATTAATAATATTATTGATTCATGTTTGAATTAGTTTCAATGAATGGACAATCTCGTCAGTATCCATCTTATGCTGTTCAAAATAAAAAAAATTGAAAATCTCTCTAGAATGCAAGAATTGTTTCACAAAAAATCTTATTGCATGAATAAAACAATTATAATTTAGATGAACAAAGTTGCCTAATTGTTTGCTTTAAGAGCTGTTTTATTGCTACTTACATAGCATTTTACAGAATAAGAATCTGACATCAGGATCTTGTTCAATTCAATAAAATGTTCCAATTTAAGATCAATTCCAGGGTTCTACTAAAACTTTTAATGTGTAGTTTAAACAAAATTAATGAAATCATTGGCATTAATACTTGCTTAAAGTGATACTACGTCTTAGAATTAACATAAAATTTAAGAATTTTGAACTTGACCAATAAGAGCATATATTTATCAGTAGATATACCTGGTGTCATAACTAACATAACAGGATCCTTATATAATCTGATAAATACAAAAAACTTAGTAATTATCCATGAAAATGCAATTAACTATTTAAAAACGCTTGATATTAAGATTAAGGGTTTTTCAATAATTACTTAGTTTTATGAATTTTCGGATTTTACA